CGTTTTTTACTGCATCTTTTCTTCATAGAGACAAATTTACAACCACTTGTTTCACTATAGAAAAATTTATTATTCAAATCGAGTCAGGACTTCTGGCTCACCCTTTATATCGCGTCATTCATTCCTTCATTTAGACCTTTTTTATAAACTTGTCATCTAATTGATTTTTATTCAATATGCAAAGAAGACAAATTCTCAGGAATCATTCAGAGAGCGAGAAAGACAGAGTTAGAGCTCCACATATCAAAAGAGACGTAGAATGTAACAGCTATTCGCATCCAACGTCTTCTCTTTGCAGACTTTATTAAGAGATTTGGTAAATGTCTGTTGCCACTACTTTAACGAGCGCTATAGTTTGATTTTTTCTGTTTAGAAAATGCATGAAATAAACTCACCAAAGCTTCTGTTCGATAATATTTTTGTACACTACGCTGAAAACAATGATTTATTTGAACGGGCATTATATGCATTAATTGGCACTTCCTTTTTAAGGCTGAAAGACATACCGAAGTTGACATCGAAACTTGACACTGCTTCTAGACGTTGTTTAATCGAAAACTACAACAGATTATGTTATCCGCGGTTACCTGCCAAAGACTATGAAGAACAGGTGACTATGATGGATTTTGCTTTAGTATTAGCTTGCGAAGTTAATCCACCGGAGATTGTCATGGATAAGATTATAGCTATAGTATGTGCTGAAAACGGTAATATTGACGGAGCTGGAGCTATTTTTCGGCACGTATTAGAAAAACAAGAAACAAAGAGTTTAGACGCTGCCATGACCTATAGTGATATAGCATGGACTCACTACTTACAGGAGCTTTATGTTTCCGCACTGTACTGTGAAAATCAAGCATTTGCTATTCGAAAAGAAAAAATGGACGAGAGTTATCTGCTATTTGCTGATCAGTATCATTCACTTGGCTGCATCCACGAAGCAAAGCAAGACTTTCATAAAGCAACTATTTGTTACGCCAAATCTCTAGAAATATTGGAATTAAACTTCGTTAGTAACAATGTCATTCAAGATACAAGCTCAAAATATTATAAATATAAAAGCGCGTACGCTAGATATACTTTTAATCGCAATCCAAAAGCAGCTAACCGCCATTCATTTGCATTCACACCGATACAACCGAGTCTGGTAAGTGTCACAGACTTGAGAGACAGTAAATTGCTTCTCGAAACTGAAGCAAAAAGCGGTCTGCATTCTTACGAACGCCGAAGTTATGACATTCCTTCATACTAACTTAGAATAGTTTTAGACGAGAAGTGCTGTTTTTCCTGTAAACTATTGCAAAAGATGGACACTTCATAACGTTTCGAATCGTTTAGGCTGTCGAAAAGACGAGACCAGAGTACCTAAATTGGATTAAACAACGTCTCCTAGAAACAGAATGGCACGATGCTAAAGAAATATATTATCACCTTCTCACACTGCCAGAATGGCTAAATGATCCTCAGTTTCTTGAAGATCGACAAAAGAATGATGACCAAGTTATTGGTGTTCCACCGAAATGTGTTCTTCGTGATCGATTTTTAGTTATTGAACCTCCAATCAAATCTTTTGATGAAGGACGTCAGTTTAAAGGTTCAGGTTTTCTTGTAGAGGCTGGAAAATATAACGGTTTTTCTAGAACTCATAAAGACAGTGACAACTATTATGAAATTACAGTTGACGCTGCAGCCAAGGGAATTCTAAATGAAGGATTAAGCCTTGGTAAAGAGCAAGAAGCTAGGAAGTTAGCTCAGGAGTTACAAAGTCTGAAGGATGGTGGTAAATTCGTAATGCTTCAAATGTCCGTCCAACTTTTTACAAAATCGTCATTTTTAGACAAGTTAGTCAATAAAACACTTCTAGAAGGTGATGACAGTAAAATGAAGACACTCGGACGCTATTGTCATTTACTCGATCGTTATTTCGCCGAAATAGATGACCAGGCAAAACTTTATGACATAATGGTCTATGGTGGTGCCAATCTTAACTTAGCTCTTCTCAGAACATACATCGATGCAATCGGTACACTCTCAAAAAAATGGCTTGGCTTTTCATCGGCGAGTAAAAATGCGAAACTAGCGGAACTATTCGGTAATACATTATTCATCATCAGAATGCATCGAACCTACGGCGAAGGTATCAATAAAGTTGCTGATATAAGTAAAATATCAAATTTTCCTGAAGAAGAAGAAGTTCTGTTTACAGCTGGTATTGAGTTTATAATTGAAAAAGTTGAAATACATTGCACTGGTAAAAAGTTTAGAATTTATTTAACAGTTTATGTTTAGTGCTGTTTGTTTTTCAACTTTTCTAAACTGCGTTAACTTGATATATAACGAAATTTTTAAGAGTAACTCTTTGAAGAAAGTGAAGCTTCTGAAGCGCAAAATACGTTAAAAGAAGTCACTCACCCTCTCCATTACTGAGAGGAAAAATTTCACAGTTTCATATAGTTTTACTTAATGACGCTTTGAACGATGAAATGATGTTACAATTAATAAATTCAAAAGAGCATCGCGAATATTTTATTTGCGATTAAAAGAGCTAAGGTGAGCATTAGTTTTGCCATCAAATTACGAGCATAACTGTATGCGTAGTTGAGAGCACTATATTTATATTTTTTCAAATTATTGATTATGTTTCCTTTTTTGTGTTTTGAAGTTTGTTTTCGCAAAAGTTAAAAGCATGTGCGCCGCCATATGCACAATCCAAGACATAGGCTTCACTACGGGGAAGGAACAGTGGGAAATGGCTCAATACCAAATGGTTTTTCTATATCTACCAATCCTGAATAAAGTTTGTGACACGAAAACGAAATACTGCGCTGCCAATTCAAAAATAAAGTATGATTTTTGTTTCCCTTCGTTTCGGCATCATTAGATAGAGCTCACCGACTTAGATAGGAAAAAGCCAATTTAAGATTTTTCAACGCCATTTTTGGATGAAAAAATTGAAAAATATTGATCTTTTGAACTGCAGGAAAAAACAGTGAAATTTTCAATTTTGATCGCGCTTCGAAATTCCACTTTTTTCTTATTTTCCATCGAAAAACTGAATCTGGAAAGCTAGTTTTGGGAATTTTAGAAGCTGAAATGGACTCAGAATCTGCGAAATACGAGCAGAATGGTAAAGGGGCTGTCAGTCAATTTTACGAACCTATCTAGTCCTACCATTTTTGAGATAAAATTCTTTCTTTTACTTCGTTCTTATCGCAACACTTGTGCAAAAAAGGTTAAGTATCATTTTTGGAAAATTTTGTTTTATTGCCGAGAAATTGTTTTTCTTTTAATTCACTAAATATAGTGGCGACGGTGTAAAAGTGGATCCATTAAAACGCAAGAAAAATCTAAAAACAGTTTGCATTGGTTTCTTCAAACGTTCAACGTTGCATATTTGCGAAGTAACGTAACCCGAAAAAAAGGGAATGATCTTTTGTCCCGTCTATATTTTTCATTAACAAACGTAGCGAAAAAACCCTTGTATACCATGACGTAAAAATTATATCGCACTTTAGAAATGCAATTCAGTCCTGATGAGCGTAGTGAAATACAGATTTTTATGAACACACATGTTTATGATATAGAAGATGACAACTTTGTAGTAGTTCCATATATGAATAGACAGGACGAACAGGAAACAGATTGCGAAATTATTACTTCTGGAAGTAATGATTGAAGTTCGAACCACGAAGACAGCGAAGAAGACAAAACTCAAAGTGATCAAGATTTATGGTTTAATTTAACCGTTTAATTAATACCGTCATTCTGAGTGTTACTCGTTATGATAGCGAGTAACACCCAGAATGATGGTATCAGAACTGGCAGCTGTTGGAAAGATTTCCTCGCTTTTTTTGCGACTCTACGGAACACGGCCCAGCAGTCTAAAAATCCATGCCATTGATCTATGAAAACCTAAATAAAATAAAAGAAAGCAAAGGCTCCAATTAGTTAAGACGCCACTTGTGACCCTGACAATTATTTTTGCTAAGCAATGCAGGTGAAACATCTCAGTACTAACTTCTATGCCCTGTCATATATGACATCAGTCGATTGAGCACCTGAATCGTGTTTTTCGATCAATTCTGTCCCCGAGACGTCTCGGAGTTCTCCATGGAATTCGTACGTTAAACTGCACTCGGTAACGAAAGGTTCCTGCCCGTCAAGATCAGCAAAATCATCTTTAATAAATTTCAATAATTCTGTAACTAATTTTTGACCTTGCTTCTTGTCAGTTAGTTTTGAATGCCATTCAATTTTAAAAGGAGTATAACGGTATTCACTTGCATAATCTAATGCATGTATTGAAATACGAATCGAATTAGAATTATTTCCATCATTAGCATGAGATCCTAATTGAACATAACGTCCACTTCAACTATTGAAATGTTGATTAGAATTGAGAATTGTTCTTGATTGTGTTGCTATTGTAGCTGTGCCACCACCATCTGTAAACCTTCTCCATTACACATACGATCTCTTTGATCACTTGTCATATTTTGGTAATGATCATAGTTCATAATTCTAATTAATCTTTGATCCCACTGACCTTTTGATAAAAAAAATGTGCTTTCACAAGAAAGCTACACAGAACGAAAATTTTTTATTCTGTACACATGATGTATAGAACGAAAACTTGAGAATATAGTATAGACAGAGAGATGTTTACTGTACTTGAAAAGGAAAGAGAAACGACCTCCAAACGACCTCTAAGGCAATGGTCGTTACACATAAACAGTAACATAGGTTATCGACTATGCTGAACCTCGTCAACAAATTATTAAATTCATAACTTAGTGACTGAATTTGATGAATCAAAAATAGCTGTAGTTGATCGATTTTTAACGACTACGAAACAAAGTGGTAGAGCACCGGTGAGCCAATAATTTTTCGATCCACTCTACATACTTTTGAACGGTAAGAACCAATGAGTCTCACCTAGTATGAAACAAGACGGAAGAATATTTTACTCGGCAAATTTTGTCATGTTCTATAGTTATGTATCGTACAATCATGTATTATGAAAAGTTTTCTTCTTCAATACATTAAAAAATATTGGAAGATATGAAAGTCATGTCAATATGAAATATTTACGTTGCTGATTCTTCGTTTGTATAACATTTTCTTACCCCCACTTCTGCTCATGTCATTTGTAGCGGACTTTGTCAATGTTAATAAATCGACTATACGTATTCTTCTTTTGCTGCAATGACTGCAGTTTAAAAAAAGAAACTTTTTTCTTTTTGTTTTGCAAAACGAAATACGGAGAACTTGAACTTGATTTTATTTTACAAACAAACTGACTTTACAAAGAAAGACCTGCTGTACGAAAGCAGAAAAAGTAAAACATACTTAAGTATGTTAAAAACTGGTTTTACATGAAAATTAACACCTTTTATTGCTTTCTTGCTTTTTTTCGTTTTGAATATTTGCGTTTTTCGTTCCATTTTCTCTTTTCGCATTTGATCGTGGTGAACGAACAAAAGGACAAAAAGAATATCCATCTGTAGCTTGTATGGAGCACTGCTGTTATTCAGTATACTTGTTCAACATTGAGCAGATATAAAATATCAGTTTTATTGAATCCGAAAGAAAAAAGGAAGATTGATAATAAGAAACGCTACAATTACTTGTACAGAAATCGTTAAACATCAGAATTTAGAACATTAGAAATATTTGTTTCATTGCTACATCGGTCACGAAGTCTAGACGGAAAAATTGTGAAATGCCATCGCAGGATGCTGAAATCAAAACATTAAAAAAAAATAGCAGCTCTATGGGAGAAGTATGCTGTCTTACTTGTTCCATTGGGCGTGCTTGTGTGTTCATTGTTACAGCTTTCAGTAATCCACCCATTACCGTTCGACATAAAGGGCAAAGGTCATTCGGGTTTTTCATTATACATTCCAAATGAAATTGATGACCGCACTTTGATTCATACAGCTCTTCACCTTTTGTCATTGAACTTAAACATACTGAACAGTTATTCTCCTGTGGTGATGCCATACTTTTTAACTCTAAAAATTTTTCAAGCAATACCAATAGCATTCCTCTATTAACTAACATATTGAGCTGAAAAGTCGACGCATACTAGAACGTGAACCTTCTTCTATTGCAAACACGATATATAAAAAAAGTTAAAAAAAGAGAGTTTCGTAGCAAACAGCATCGTGCACATATCTGTATTCAAAGAAAGGTACGATATGAATGTCTTACAAATATGCCCCACTACTGCTCATACCATTGACCGTGAACTTTGTTAATAGTATGTTTTGTCTTACATTCGTCTTTATCTCGCCCTATGAAAAGTTTTCTTCAATATATTAAAAGTTTAAAAAGCACATGTATTGAGTGCTTTTTACCTTGATGACAGCAGAAAAAGGAAGAAAAGAATGAATGTAAGACAAAAGACAATATTGACAAAGTCCGATGCCAATGATATGAGCAATAGTGGGGACGAGCAAGTGTTATACAAATGAAGAATCTTTGTCTTACATTCGTCTTTTCACCTTTATGTCGCCTTATGAAAAGTTTTCTTCTTCAGTACATTAAAAAATATTGAAAGATATGAAAGTCATGTCAATATGAAATATTTACGTTGCTGATTCTTCATTTGTATAACACTTCCTCGATATTTTTTATTCAGTATATGAGTATCGTTCGGATCTTCGAATGTATACGCAATTTTAGCAAAAGCTATTCGAAGAATGATGGAGAGCATTCTTGTTTTAAATAGACAATATGTTGTACGCCATGACGTTTTCGTCAACTTTCTGAAAGTTTCCAGTAGCGGATTTCCAATACTATACTCCAAATTTAAACATCAGAAACACCGATTTCAATTTTCTTTCCTTTTGACCTTCTCAATTGTCATAAACTTTTTATATATCCGTAAATGAATATACGTTGGAATGAAACAAGAAAGGAACAAATTCTACATGTTCATCGAAATGTTCATCCATCTTATGAGCCAGATAATTCGTCATTCTGACACACTAACGAAACAACCAGAATCGTCCACGTTGAGGATTTGATACAGGTGGCAGTGCGTTTAAGTATGTTTTACTTTTTCTGCTTTCCTACAGCAGGTCTTTCTTTGTAAAGTCAGCTTTGTTTGTAAAATAGAATCAAGTTCAAGTGACATATCAAAATTCGGCGCCTTTTTTTCCAAGGGGGTTGCCGGAAAATTTTTTGCGGAATCTTGTAGCCCATGGTCGATTTAGTGGTACGCCGTATTTATCTCAAATGGGTCCTTCCGATTTTTGTGGAAAAAAATTTGGGGAAAAACATCACAAAGATCCTTGCAGGATTCGAACCGGCGATGTAAAAATTCACTTTCTTTGCACTAAACCACTGTGCTAAAAATTGTTAATGTTTTTCGACCGTAACTTTTTTTCTAAAACGTTGCCGAAGAGGATTCAGCGGGCTTCCATACAGCACTGTCATGACAGTATTTATCTCGAAAGGATTATATTGTTTTCTTGAGAAAAAGAAACTTTTGCATATTATTAGAATGTAACCAGAGTAAACAGTTCAATAGTACAGATATCGTGTACATCTGAAGTGCATCAAATCAGCAAAGATTGTTCGTTTATTCATCCCACACAAAGACAAACAGATCAATAAGATTTACAATGAAATTATTAATTATCTAATTAATCAGTTTCGATGTAAACAATTCTTAATTATCGCATAAAAGCCTAATAAAACAAAAGAACGCGTTATTGTCATTAGGGTGGCAAGCTGAGGTGTACCTGGATATGCTCTCTCCAAGCTCTAATAACATTAATTTAACTTTTAAGTAAGAAGGTAAGAAACATTTCTTAACGACATTTGGATATGAAAAGAGGCAGTTCAAATATAGGAACATAAAAATTCAGCAAACAATTTATCTTAATGTAGATGAATCCTTATGTAGCGATCTTTATGAAAAAGAAAACTGTACGAGAAGGTCTCTCAAAAATAAAGTGTTTCTTAATGTAATTGACATACTGATTTCATGATGACCTGGTTTTTTCTTCAGGAACATTATGCAATCAAGGTGTATCATTCACCTGACTCGCTTCGAGACTGAGCTTAAAATAAAGTACACAGGAATTTTATTTGTAAACACTCTCCCTACTCGTCATAGAAACTACGTTAACGGTTTTTTGAACTTTTAGAAAATTTCTGATGCTATTTCTAAGACAGCTTCAATCTCAGACTTCTCTAAGTTCTCTCATGTTCGCCTCAATTATGATTGAGAAAGTTAAGAAAGCAGATATAAACTGCAAAAAAGGTTCGAGTACAAAAGTGGTCTTCAGATCGTTTTAATAAAAAGTATCTTATAATCAATTTCACCAAAAAAATCTTACCTTCGGAGCAATGAGTCAAGCAAAGAGTCAGTTTTTAGGAAATAATGTCTCTTATCTCGGTAACGAAAAACACCTGAGCAGAGATATTTTCGAATTAGTCATATCCTTATGCTTATAAGTAACTGGCAAAAAAGATTTTGCTTCAACTCGCAAAACAACTCCAGCCAAATCTATTTCGACTCCACATGTCTTCGTAAAAACTTCACAACTTCTTGATGGAGCATCCGTTTGAGATGGCTAGGATCTCAAATTGCAGAGGACATGTTGTCCTACTTAAACATGTGAAAACCTCAGCTTCGACCAAAGCCACTTTTATGGTGGTCGGAAAGGGGTTCGTCCTTAAGATATAGCCACCGGATCTCTCAAAAGAAAAATCGAATGTAGCGCGCGAGCTAGTCATAAATATAGTGCCGTTATTTCATGATGGACTGGTCAAAATAACAATAAAATACAGTGATGTAGCACCGCCTATCCAGACGAACTCGAATCTAATATGAGAATTTACTTTTGAGACAGGCTACCTGAACGTGTATCTTCTAACATTACCGCTCTATTCTTGTTTATATGCAAAACCTACATCCACTATGCTAACCTCACTCAAATCGTCGAATTACGCATCGTCAAGCTGTCGAATTAGGCGATTCTCAAAGGACTGTGAAATATTCGTTTTACTCATGTTGATGCTCCATGGATTGACCCATGGAGTTACAATACAAGTAAAACGAATATATGTTGGGGGAGCTGACCTTCACCACAGCACAAGACCGCTCTGAAGATTTCATCAACTGCAACTGCGCCAAAACAGGACATTCTCCATCAGCAAAAGGACTCTTTCAAAAAGTAGAGTTTTCAAGTATTTCCGATGCTAGCTTTAGGGGATCATGTCTTCATGGAGAAACGTTCCTCACTTATACTGCGCGTGATTTGTTATACAGCAAGCTGCTTTAAAGCAAAACGAAGTCCCAAAGCATGTCTCGAAATTTTAGAATTCAGCAGTTCAATTTTATTGATGCTAGTATCCTGATCGAAGGTTTTCATTGGATCAACGCTGAGCGAGTGGAAATAACATAAACCGCACACTTTTAGCAGAGAATAAGTTAGACAAGCAGTCGTTTTCCTGGTGTTTTTTTTCTCAACGAGAAATAGCTGCCTCGGAAGGTTTCTTTTCATTTTCGGTTAGCCCAATGTCGCTTTCAACACACCCCAAGTATTACCATTCTCGAGATTGGGCTTGCGCTTTGTAAAGTTTCGCTTCAACTTCAATAACATCTCTGTGTTCAGGCCCAAAGTTCGCGTGGTAGATATCTAAACTCTCTTCACAGCAGCGACAAGCTTCTGGATAGTTTCCTAAAAGTTCAAAGCACACATCACCAATACACTGCAGTGAATAGGCAATTTTTGTATGGTCTGGATAATGAATTCGACGTCGAGTGTTAAGTATAGTTGTCCAGTGAGCGATACTCTCCAGTCCATTGCCTTCATCGTGAGCAACAGCAGCCAGTTTCTCAAGGCAAGTGAGGGTGAGCAATTCGTCGCTAGGTACGAGGCTTTGTAGAGCTGCCAAAGCTTGCTCATAATATTCACGACGTTCTTTGCCCACAGAAATATCACCAAGAGTTATTAGTGTTGACGTAATGCGAGGGTGGTGTTTCGGGAGAATGCTGTTTTGGGCAGCCAGTTTTTCTTGACAGAATTGTAGTGCTTTTTCCCCGTTTTCTTCCTTCTTTTTGTAAGTTTTGGCCGTTTTTTCTAAGTGCAACGACAAATGAGGATGTTCTATCGGCAAGCATTGCTCTTCCATTTCCAGTTGTCGATGATAGTAGTCTAGTGCACGCGCAAAATCTTCTTTGTATTCATAAACCATCCCAACATATCCCAGACATAGTGCAATTTTTGGGTCCTGGGAAGGAAGCGCAGACATATATATATCGAGCGCGCGGTTTAGCCAGATGAGTGCGGTGTCGAGTTCGCCTTTCTGGCAATATACATTTCCGATATTTTTGATTGTGCATGCATGAAACTAGTTTTTCAATGTTAGATTCAATTCACCTTTCTCACTGTATATGTTGCCTAACTCGTTGTATATATCAGAAAGACCTATATCATCCACTGGCAGAGACTTGAGTAGTAACTGAAAGTATTTTTCCGCTTGATCTACCTGGCCTAATTGGTTCCATAAAAGTCGACCGAAACAAATCATTGGGCTATTACGTGCCACGAGCTGCTCCTGTGCTTGTACATATTCTTCGAAATGCAATGTACCCTCATCGGTGGTATTGAGATGCACCTTCCAGACATTCAGAAGCGTATCTAGCTCTATGAACTCAATCTTAAATGTTGCATTCAGTCCAAATACAACTTCTTATTCGTCGATCATTCGGCTGCATTCTTCAATGTTGGCAAATACAATCGAGGTTACCGATGGATCGGCGCGTATTACAAATAGACATGCTACTAGTCCTTCGTGTTGGAAGAGCTCTCCGGCAAAGAGAGAGGCAACACTAATATCACGAGAAGTCGCAAGAAAACCGTTTGTTGAGATCAGGCATCCGACGCTCCTCTGTAGTTTTTCGAATTCTTCACTTGACATTTGCTGCCCTCGATACACCGTTAACACATCATCGTATTTCGTTTTCGCGCGTACCCCTTCTAATTCTGTGCACAAATTGGTGATGTAAAATCGAAACGAATACAAAAGTTCTAAGTTCGGATCGCTCTATTCAACAGTTTGTAGAGAAAAGTCTCTTCTGTAAACCATGCAATGGCTTCCGAGCGCGAATAAGACTTTCGAAAGTTCTCGATTTTCTCCAGCATCGGTTTGTTTAGTGCATAATAATCAGAACATTTTGTGAGCATATCGTTTTTCGCATGGTCATCTTGTGGCATCTTTTGCAACATATGAATTAAGTGTTGGTGCCAGAGAAAGGACGCTGAATCTCTGGGGAGATTTCGCGTAGATTTCTGCTTCTGGTCAAAGAGACTGTAGACAAATATTTGCTTTTCAATGAGTATCACCGAACGACAAACTGCCTCTATAAGAGTTTCTTGGTCGGTAAATATATCAACAATTTTTGAATATTGAGCACGTAGTTCGAGATGGTAAGAATGATTTCGGCAAAAAATAAAGATAGCACCGATAGAACGAAGGCTATGGACGTGCGGAATGACATCTCGAGCATATGTACCAGAAACGAGAAGAAGGATCTTCTCGTTTTTTGTCTACTTAACAAGAGCAACACATTTTGCTAGATCAGTGTAGAACTGAGCAGCAGGATTGAGCTCAAGTAGAAGTTTTTGTACGTGCATCGAATCTTGTGAATCATTTAATTTAGCGTCCAACCAGATCAGACGCGTGTCTTCTTTATTTACTGGCTGCAGGTCGCGTCTGTGTGATTCAAACGTAGCCATACTAATTCAAGAGGGAACGAGGGAAAGAGGCAGAACTTAAAGTTTATAAGGTAACTTTTGTACTCTATAACGGATTAAACAGGGTGTCCCAAAAGTCATGCGAAGAAAAAGATATGAATATCCTCATTCTGTTTCAATCAAATCGGCTCATTCTTTTTTTCGCTGATAGAGGATAATTCAAAGTTTCTTTTCATGAGAACAAAGTTTATAAATGCTTTGAACTATCAATACTGACCTTAATAATGAACTTTACGATGTTTTCTAGACGATATTGTAAAACCATTTCTATTCTATTTGGACTTCAAATCTTACCACTCGATACAGAATATTTTTCTCTTTCGATCTGTCATTAAGTCAAAATTTCAACATTTCATCGCTATAGTAGAATTTCGCTATTTCAGAAAATTTTTTTATTGGATGGACAAAAGCACAGTAAAAGGAACATCGAAACTGAGTCGATGTGATGATTGACATGAATCTGCTTGATAATAATTCTGACAGACACCAATCAAGATTCCTTAATTAATCTCTTTCGTTTTGATCAGTGAGATTCGATGACATTGCCCATTCATTGCTCGGGAACGCGACGGTGAGCATTTTATTCGAAGCTTGGTTGCACATCGATTGCTGTCCGTGCGTTTAGTGGGTCCTGACGTTCTCCTGGAATTTCTAGTTGATCGTACATTTCCAGTCATTTCTGATTCTTCATCAATAAACACTGTCGACATTGTAGAACCTCTTTATAGAGCTCTCTGATTTCAAATGTGAATGAATCATTTACTTTTAATCGACGATAGGTGTCAATAATTTTTCGTAAATACTGCAAATTAGTTCCATTGAACCCATAGACTCGAACAATCTTCTGGACTTGTTCTGCCAAAGTGAGCGTTTGTTTTATATACTCGAAATATGACTGGTAAATAAAATGAATTACTGCCGTTTCTGTTCGAATTGAGAAAGTAAAAAGTACTTTCGTATTATGCAAGAAAGAACGATGTGAACACAATGACGACGGTGATGACAGCACTGTTATGTTTATTCCCACAGGGAACTGTGCCAGGTGATACCCATGTGACTCTTTTTTTAATCTCTAGCGGCGCAATTGTATGAACTTCCATAGTCCTTGACGTTTTACCTATGCTTTTGTGCCTAGCTCTTTTCTCTTTCTTGCGCTTACTGATTTTTCTCTCCAGCGAGTATCATACATAGCGGAACTGTTTTTTTTCGTCGAGGGTAACATAATATGCATTCGCCTGAATTTAATCTTCTACTGGCATGGTGTGCATGCCAGCATGCCACTTACGCTCGGTAGCTGAATCGCTAACATAATTGTCTGCACGGTCATTTTCATCGTACAGCAAATGCATTTATATATACCTTCGGTACTATCTATACAGGGTGTCCCAAAAGTCGTGTTAAGAAAAAAATTTGAATATTCCCATTCTGTTTCAATCAAATCGGTTCATTCTTTTTTTCGCTGATAGAGGATAATTCAAAGTTTCTTTTCATGAGAACAAAGTTTATAAATGCTTTGAACTATCAATACTGACCTTAATAATGAACTTTACGATGTTTTCTAGACGATATTG